ATATATGAGTTTGTATGTAATGTATGAATATAATATACAAGTTTCACTTTTTAAATGGAATTACTGAAATAAATCTACTTTTTCATGATATTCTAATTTTATGACCAGCACCTGTACATATAGATAGTTGAAGTCATTTCATTTGTTTTTTTACAGCTATAACCAAACTGTGCTCAGTTAACAATGGTGGATGTTCTCATTTCTGCGCCATGAGAAATCACCGAGCTGTGTGTCTGTGTGCAGCGGGCTACAAACTACAACCAGACAGGAAGACCTGTGAGCCAATAGGTACAATAAAAATATGCCTTCAGTAAAGTGGGAATTGATTTTTTTATGTTGGTTGTTTAGTATTTTGTCCTGCAGAATGGAATGTGTGGGTGAGAAAATGAGTTTATTATTTTGTTCTTTTTTCAATCAAAAGTCGTTTTCTTTAAAAGGTGGGCTCATTTTCTGCTGAAACTGTTTTCCCATTTGGAATAAAAAACACATGCAGCTCTGCAGAATTTGCCAGTATTGTAAATCAGTGTGTTGAAAATAATTGCACCATATTATTGTTATTATTATTATTATTATTATTATTATTATTATGGCATACATAAAAGTAAAAAATTAATTATGAAGACTTTTTTTATTTCCCCTCAGTGCCGTTCAGTTGTGGTCATGTGGTCCTGCCCCCTGGCACCATCACCAGATCCATCATACCGATGCAATCATTGCCATCCTCCAATCAAACAAATCAAAATACAACCATTAATCAGCCAGACGACTATGATGCAGATGATAACCTCAGCCTTGCAGTAAATGCATCAGATCCGTCCASCAGGCGTTTGAAAGAAGCAGGAAGCTCAGCTGAGGTTGAGGAAACAGAACCTCCCATAGAGGATTTTTCATGGGGTTTCTCCACATTCCCCAACGTAACAGCTGAAACAAACTCTGACCAGAGGATTGTGGGCGGCGACGAGGCCATTCCTGGAGAGATACCTTGGCAGGTGATGAGCTTTGGGATGCAGAATGTTATTCAGCTTGTTATGAAGTATTATCAAACTACTTATGAAGACTAGTTGAAAACATCACTGAAAACATTGGAGCTCAGTCCATAAGAAAGATTCAGTGCTTTTTTTTAAAGAAAGACCCAGACGTTACTCTCGTTTAATGTGTGTTATAGTCAGAATAACAAGAATAATAATAAAAGTTTTTCCTTTTAGATCTTTACACATGACCACACTGTAAAAAATATTTGTAAGATTTACTTGAGAAAATCCTGTAAACGGTTAGCACTAACATTTGGTAAGTAAAGTTAAATGCTACAAATTCATGTAATATTTACTCATCATTATCAAGTAAAAGTTATTAAGAATATAGTTAAAGATTTGTGAATAAATCAGGTAAATTTCACTTAATTTGCTAAATTAAATCTTGCAATATATTATACTTGATCAAATTAAGTAAAATTTGCCTGATTTATTCACAAATCTTTCACTATATTCTTAATAACTTTTACTTGATAATGATGAGTAAATATTACATAAATTTATAGCATTTAAATTTTCTTAACAAAAGTAAGTTCAAATTGTTATGAGGATTTTTTTCTAGTAAATCTTACAAGTTCTTTATAACAGTGCACATGCGCCAAAGACAATACTGTAGCATGACACCTCACAGCTACAGAGAGAGGTGTAGCTCTTGTTGTAGTTCGAGACTTCACCACCAGGTGGTGGTTTTGAAGAACTTTTATTGGATTCTTCTTCATGAACAACACAGACAAAGTGAAACTCTAGGTCTTATTAATGACTAGGCCTACCACTCTCACTTATGGTTACTTCTGCTGAACGGTTTAACCCAAGTTAACAAATAATGAACACACAAATTAGAGCAGGGGTGTCAAACTCCAGTCCTCGAGGGCCGCTATCCTGCATGTTTTAGAGGTTTTCCAGCTCCAACACACCTGATTCAGTGATTGAATTAACTCTTCAAATTGGGCAGAAGCCTGTTAATCACCCAGTGATCAAAATCAGGTGTGTTGGAGCAAGAAAACCTCTAAAACATGCAGGATAGCGGCCCTCGAGGACAGGAGTTTGACACCCCTGAATTAGAGTAACACAACAGACTAATTGTTGAAAGAACAATGTTAATCAATTCCCGAAAATGATTTAACAGCAAACATTAATCCTACCCACAATCCTCCACTGCAGTCACATGACAAACAGCCAAACACAGCAGAATGCTACAATATGCATTCCCTGTTCCCTGACAACTAAATATCACCTACATTATGTCATCAAACTATTGCACACCAACAAATGTATTCAAGCAAAAGAAACCAGACAACTTATGTTTTATTTCCACCATGTCTTGTCCTCTCCTTGAAAAGTGAAACAAGGGAACGAGGAGCAGCAGCCTTTGTGTGTGCATGCACCCTCAGTTTTAGCCCAGAAGAGTACAAGTTACTTAATATATTCATGTTTATGTGCTGTCCAGAAAAAGCACTTAAATATTACTGGTAAAATAATATTAGCATTTATTTTTTTGTTGTACAGTAATATTGATATGTTGTACAGTAATATTGATATAGAATATAATGTGCATTGTTTATTTAGTAAATTCTAGTAGTTCAGAAATTTTGATGTTTTTTGTAAAATTTAAAAGAATAATTAAATAAATGTTACTACACCCAAAAATCATTTTTTCAGTGCAGCCATGAAACAAAGAATAATGTGAAAAAAAAACTGTTAAAGTTGAAGTGAAATAACCAAAGAAAGGTCGGTTCGTCTCACATTCTGCTTGATGTATTCTGTTATCTCAGCTTCTTACAGCACAAAATGTCTGTTTACAGGTGGCACTGATGACTCACTCAGAATCTCTGAACAGAGCTGAGCCTTTCTGTGGCGGTTCTCTGGTTAGTGACATTTGGGTGATCACTGCCGCTCACTGTTTGAACAGTACAGATCACAAAAGAAAAAAAATTTTCGTCAGAGTTGGTAAGAAAATTTTTTGATTTGCATCAGTAAATAAAAATTATCGTCTGTGTTGTAAAGCAGTTGATTTGATTGAAGTGGGGTTTCCATGCATATCTGAATAGTAAATATCTTACTTGTTGTAGATGAATCTTTTAACTGAGAAGTGTAATTTGTTAATATTTCAGGTGAGCATGATGTGAATGTTCATGAAGGTCCAGAAAGAAACCACGATGTGGCCGAGCAGCACGTCCACCCCCTGTACGACTCGATGAAGTCCCAGTACAACCACGACATCGCGCTGCTGAAGCTTGCCGTCCCAGTGGAGCTGTCCAACCAGAGGCGTCCCATCTGCCTGGGCCCCAAAGAGTTCATTCAGAGCATCCTCAGAGAGTCGACCAGCTCCCTGGTGAGCGGCTGGGGGAGGATCCGTTTTCAGGGCCGCGAGGCCACCAAGCTTCAGAAGCTGTCGATCCCCCACGTGGACCGGACCCTGTGTAAACACAGCAGCGGGGATCACATCACCCGATACATGTTCTGCGCCGGATATCCAGACGGCCAGAAGGATTCGTGCCAGGGGGACAGTGGGGGGCCGCTTGCCACCAGTTACAAAGGAACCTGGTTCCTGACAGGCATMGTCAGCTGGGGGGAGGAGTGCGCCCGGAGCGGCAAGTACGGCATCTACACCCGGGTGTCGCGCTACTACAACTGGATCAGTAATATTACAGGGATCACACATGTTCAATAAAAATTACTCAAACACAGCATTGAGTTTGTTTGATCACAAGGAAGCTTTTAACATGAACTCCAATAAAAGATATTAAAATATATTTTTTGTGATTGATGTATTTAGTAACTTTAAAATGAGGTTCTAAATCMAATCTTTATTTAAAATCCTTACAAACACTTTTAAATCTGATGTTTTTCTTTGGTCTTACTTATTGCAATACAAATCAGAAGATTCAACTAATTTATTCTGTTGAATTTGATAAACAGTGAAATTTACGACTGCTGAAACACCACAGATGTCATTTACTGGAAAAATACAGCCTTTTTTCAGATTTGTGTTAAATGTTGATTCATAAACATCTTATTTGTTTTTATTATTGAGACTCGATATAAGTATAATGGGCAACATGTGTGTGGAAGAAACTGATCAGTCAAACTAAAAAGAGGTGAGGAGGATTAAAAAAGGCAAAATATGATTTAAAAACGATCAGAAGAAAGGCCCAAATAAATATTAAAATATTAACTTTCTTTTGCATTTGTTATTAAAATTAAACTAGCATTTGTGTTTATTACAGTGCTAAAAACAGCACTTTAAAGGGGGAGTAATCAACAAATGCAGAATGAAAACAGTTCAGTCTAATCATCAGTATCCATCAGTGCTGATATAATTTGGCTGCAATTAGATTTTTTAAAATGTGGAAAAAAAAGTGGAGCCTCAATAATCCTGCTGTTTAAAACTGGATAAGGTTGAAATAAATCACATAAACCTGGTTGAATCAAATAAAACTGTGTGCTTATATTTCATTTAACAGAATGCATCACATTACAATCTTTCTCCATGATGTCTAATCAGTGCAAAGTGAGCTAAAAGCAATAGTTCAAGGTACAATGTGGCTGAAACTGACGGACCCCTTGTGTCACACAGAAACCAGTTCAGTGTGACACAATGTTTCTAGTTATAATGATTACTGGAAACACCTTTAAATGCAGAGTTTATATCGGATCTACCCGGAACACAGAGATACAAGAAAGAATGTATTTGTCATCTGAACAGTTGAAAAGCATCTTCAAACTGTCCAAGAAAGTGTTTTTCCCTCYTTTTTCTGTATCTAAAATGTATTATTTACAAATTCACATTCACCTGCAAAAACTGTTAGCAACTGCATCAAATAATTACCCTGTCTGCACTGAGAAAATATTTTATATTCTTTTGGCTGTAAAGCATCATAATTTCCACTTTTAAAAGCATCTGAACATTTAATTCAAATGAGGCAGTTTCAAAATAGTTCAATTTAAATGTTTTTGTCAATTTTCATCATCTTTTTCCACTCTAAGTAACACTTTGTGTTTTCCAGTTAGACCCCSCCAACACTTGACATTGTTTGTGTAAAATGTTACTGCAGCACAAACTTACAGAATGCAGTGAAATGAGCTACAACTGACAACAAAAACATATTTTCTTCATGAAAATGGCAACCAATAAAAACATTCAGTAGACAAAGKGTTTTAGCAGCAAACTCTAAATAATTCCATCATAAACTGCAAAACTTGAGTACAACATAAAGTACATTTAAATAGCAGCAGTCATAAGCAATAAAAACTAATAAAAGTAAATTACAGCCATCTAAAAAAGCCAGTGGAGGTGATTCCACCAATAAAGCACTCATCAATAAATGCAGCAAATTCTGTTAGCATGCGGTCTGTCTTCATTTTCTTTCATTATTCATCAAAAAATTAGAGTTACCTGCTCCACTTAGAAGTTCCTGTCTTACAGAAGTGTTTCTGTGCCTWAATGCAGAAAACTACTAGAAGTCTGGGTGGAAGCAAAAGTTAATYAACTTTGGTTGAAACGCTGCCCTGAGGGGTCTTGTTGTAAACAAATAACAGTGTTACCCTCCAGAATGCATTGAACTTTGGGTTTGAGCAAACACAATTAATTAATTATGATTTATAACAAAACATCTGTAAACTGAGAATTATTTGCATTAAATGATTATTTTCAGTGTTTATCTTTTACAAATTCTGTGGGGGGAAATATATTTGAATTGGGACCTGCTCACAACAACAACAACAACAATAATAATAATAATAATAATAATAATAATAATAATAATAATAATAATAATAATCAGTGTTTCTGCTGTAAATAAGAACATAAATCATCATAAGTACTGTAATCAGAAAGTTGGCAATATTCCTTTAATCCACAGGTGCCATGTCTGCCCATCCTGTGAGGTTTGCAGCCTCTGGCTTATTCAGGAGTCACAACAAACCTGTCATAAATCAGCCTTTTTTTCATCTCAGCAACATCTTAAGACCCTGACCATCATGACAGAAACCCTCATTCAGGCTTCCATCACCTCCCATTTGGACTGAGTCTCCTGAAAAGTTTCAGTCAATGTTTTCGCCTGCACCAAACTGCGGCACCACACCACTCTGACCCTTTTTTGGCTTTAATTTAGGACTCAAATTCATAAAAAGCATTCTTCTTCCCATCTACAAGCCCCTGCAGGGTCATCCTCCTCAGTGTCTCTCTGACGCTTCAACCCAAAAATGTGTTGATATTTGCAACACTTTCTCTCAGGAAATAAAAAAGTACTAAAATGCTTATTTAACTTTTTTTTCCCTCATACATTTCTGAACTGACTCTTTTGTTGCTCCTCTTTTTGATAATCTGATCCTGGAATGCAGTGGTTTTCAAAGGTTTTAGTTTCTGACCCACAAAATAACAGTTGCAGAAACTTTAAACTCAGTTTATGAACCTRGCTAATAACTCTATTAAACATGGGCATAATATTAATATAAGTAAGCCTAATAACTATCATACTTTTATTACTTTATTATTATTGTATAATTCTTTTTTTGCAGGAACTATGGTGAAGATATTCCATTAACAATTTATTTGAATTTAAATCGATGTCTGGAAATCGTTTGGTGACCCTTGCTTGATGTTTCATGACGCACAGAGGGGTCCCGACCCAGTCTGTGGGGACCACTGCTCTAAAGCATCTCTGGGTTTTATGAAAGGCTCCATTTAAATTTAAGCTCCAGCTGTTGAAACAGATACRTGAAGGATAGCACTGTTATTTTTTTCTTAGATGTAACCACTTAAACCACCACACACACTGCGTGACCTGTTATATTTTGATACAAACAATTTCCCTTTTTTAATCTATATATTTTTTCCCTTATTTACACCAATTAAATGCAACTGCACGACTTCCTAAGTTCATTTCTGCCACTAAGAGATGGATTAATATGGCCATTTCTGTACACATCAGAAGCACATACTGTAATAACAAAGATGGCTGCAGTAGCATCACCACACAATAAAGCTTCATTTGTTTTCTATAAAATCTCATGTTTACACAAGAAGAAGCTGTGGCGGTTAGTGTAGCTGTTTGGCACACAGATGATATGTCAGTATGCTTTCAGTGACAYGTCGTAAAAAAATAGAAATTATACAACTTTTAAAATAAAATCCATCCTTCGACTGCATCACTGCTAAAATATATAAAGAGAGCTTCTATGGCTTTCAGTTTTTACAATCCTTCGAGGTTTATATGGAGGTTTCTCTAATGTGAAACTGTTTTAGTAAAAAAACCTGTGGCTGCTGTTGTGCTTCCCTTTCTTGGCTACTTCATGGAACATGGGAGTCTGTGGGYGTGGTGGGATGTCTGAGTAAACAGTGGCCCGATTGAGAAAAACAGAAGAAAGTACGCTGTGTCATCTATTCTCCCRTCTGATTGGCTCTCAGCAGGTTTCCCCCAGAATCCTGTGCAGGTCTTCGGGCTGGACGCGACCTTCCTCGCCACGACTTATGTTCTTCACCATCCTGTGTTTATAAACAAAACAACAAAAACAAGCGTTCATGTATTTAATATTTTTATCTTCTTCTACTTTATCGAGATTTCAGAAACATGTGCCTCTTGTACGTTACCACATTCCTGATGAGTCCTCATACAGCAGCTGGATGACATCACCACAGTTAAAGACGATGTCGTCAGTGCTGGCCATGCTGCTTTCTACCATGACTCTGTACCTGCCTGCCACCTACAAAACAAAGAAACACGAAAACAAAAATAGAACTGAATTAAAAAATTTATTATACAGTATAATAAAAAAAAGAAAATACTGGTTTTTCTTCTTTTTCCCCTCAGTTGAAAATGAGTAAAAATGAAAATTGGACCTTCGTGATAAACGAATGGTCTAAAAGCTCTAATCCCTAAAGTAAAAAAGGTTTCTGTGTCATTWGTAGTCGTGCAAAGCAACTCCAGATCTGATCCAAGCACTTTAATAAAGAYGGAGCTTTACTAATTGTAAGCAGCTGGTTTGGTCACATCACTTTATGTTCACAGTAAACTAAACATAACAACAAATACTTGTAGAGCATGTTCTGTGACTGTCACCAGTGGTGAAGGCTGATCCTCTTCTTCTGAGTCAGATAAAGCAGAGAGGTCTGTCGCCCCCCAGTCCTCCAGGCCCTCGCAGATCGCCACAGAGTGAGCAGGAACAGGCCAACCTGCAGATGACAGACAACTAGAAACTGCACTAAAACATTCTGCACAACACGAGTCGGAAGACCTTTATAGGGCACCAAATGTAAAATTAAAATTCACAAACATATTTTTCRTTACTTAGCTCACATTCTGAGTGTTAAAGGGATCCACAATTGGTTGTAATACTAAACTTTATTTGATAAACATTTATTGTAACTGTAAAATAAAGACTGTAAAAATACTGTAGGCTGTTTAGTTTTGTAAAATTTTAAAATATATTTTAACACGGATGGAGCCATTTTATTTACACACAAACCATTCTGGGTAAATGATGACGTGGATAGGTCATTGTTGCGAGGCTGCTAGCGAGCTATATCCACCCTGAAGGTTAATCTTGGACAATATCTGACGATCGGCTCTTAAATGAAACCAGA